GGGGCCCATGGCAGATTAGGGGCCTGGCAGCAGCTATGGGAGGCCCGTAATCTGCCAGCACCCTATGTCAAAAAATTCTACACACCAGCAGTGTGTGAGGAGACCTGAAAGTGGCACATGGCAGAGTGTGGCGATGGAGACAGCAGCAATGGGAGGCCGTACAGGGACCCATGAGAGACTCTGGACTGGCAGCAGCATGAGGAGGCGGTATATAGGGGCCCATGGCAGATTAGGGGCCTGGCAGCAGCTATGGGAGGCCCGTAATCTGCCAGCACCCTATGTCAAAAAATTCTAACACACCAGCAGTGTGAGGAGACCTGAAAGTGGCACATGGCAGAGTGTGGCGATGGAGACAGCAGCAATGGGAGGCCGTACAGGGACCCATGAGAGACTCTGGACCTGGCAGCAGCATGAGGAGGCGGCGGTATAGGGGCCTATGGCAGATTAGGGGCCTGGCAGCAGCTATGGAGGCCCGTAATCTGCCAGCACCCTATGTCAAAAAAATGGATTCTACACACACAGCAGTGTGAGGAGACCTGAAAGTGGCACATGGCAGAGTGTGGCGATGGAGACAGCAGCAATGGGAGGCCGTACAGGGACCCATGAGAGACTCTGGACCTGGCAGCAGCATGAGGAGGCGGTATATAGGGGCCTATGGCAGATTAGGGGCCTGGCAGCAGCTATGGGAGGCCCGTAATCTGCCAGCACCCTATGTCAAAAAATTCTACACACACAGCAGTGTGAGGAGACCTGAAAGTGGCACATGGCAGAGTGTGGCGATGGAGACAGCAGCAATGGGAGGCCGTACAGGGACCCATGAGAGACTCTGGACCTGGCAGCAGCATGAGGAGGCGGTATATAGGGGCCCATGGCAGATTAGGGGCCTGGCAGCAGCTATGGAGGCCCGTAATCTGCCAGCACCCTATGTCAAAAAATTCTACACACCAGCAGTGTGTGAGGAGACCTGAAAGTGGCACATGGCAGAGTGTGGCGATGGAGACAGCAGCAATGGGAGGCCGTACAGGGACCCATGAGAGACTCTGGACCTGGCAGCAGCATGAGGAGGCGGTATATAGGGGGGCCATGGCAGATTAGGGGCCTGGCAGCAGCTATGGGAGGCCCGTAATCTGCCAGCACCCTATGTCAAAAAATTCTAACACACCAGCAGTGTGAGGAGACCTGAAAGTGGCACATGGCAGAGTGTGGCGATGGAGACAGCAGCAATGGGAGGCCGTACAGGGACCCATGAGAGACTCTGGACCTGGCAGCAGCATGAGGAGGCGGTATATAGGGGCCTATGGCAGATTAGGGGCCTGGCAGCAGCTATAGGAGGCCCGTAATCTGCCAGCACCCTATGTCAAAAAATTCTACACACCCAGCAGTGTGTGAGGAGACCTGAAAGTGGCACATGGCAGAGTGTGGCGATGGAGACAGCAGCAATGGGAGGCCGTACAGGGACCCATGAGAGACTCTGGACCTGGCAGCAGCATGAGGAGGCGGTATAAGGGGGCCTATGGCAGATTAGGGGCCTGGCAGCAGCTATGGGAGGCCCGTAATCTGCCAGCACCCTATGTCAAAAAATTCTACACACCAGCAGTGTGTGAGAGACCTGAAAGTGGCACATGGCAGAGTGTGGCGATGGAGACAGCAGCAATGGGAGGCCGTACAGGGACCCATGAGAGACTCTGGACCTGGCAGCAGCATGAGGAGGCGGTATATAGGGGCCCATGGCAGATTAGGGGCCTGGCAGCAGCTATGGGAGGCCCGTAATCTGCCAGCACCCTATGTCAAAAAATTCTACACACCAGCAGTGTGTGAGGAGACCTGAAAGTGGCACATGGCAGAGTGTGGCGATGGAGACAGCAGCAATGGGAGGCCGTACAGGGACCCATGAGAGACTCTGGACCTGGCAGCAGCATGAGGAGGCGGTATATAGGGGCCTATGGCAGATTAGGGGCCTGGCAGCAGCTATGGGAGGCCCGTAATCTGCCAGCACCCTATGTCAAAAAATTCTAACACACCAGCAGTGTGTGAGGAGACCTGAAAGAAAGTGGCACATGGCAGCAGAGTGGCGATGGAGACAGCAGCAATGGGAGGCCGTACAGGGACCCATGAGAGACTCTGGACCTGGCAGCAGCATGAGGGAGGCGGTATATAGGGGCCCATGGCAGATTAGGGGCCTGGCAGCAGCTATAGGAGGCCCGTAATCTGCCAGCACCCTATGTCAAAAAATTCTACACACCAGCAGTGTGAGGAGACCTGAAAGTGGCACATGGCAGAGTGTGGCGATGGAGACAGCAGCAATGGGAGGCCGTACAGGGACCCATGAGAGACTCTGGACCTGGCAGCAGCATGAGGAGGCGGTATATAGGGGCCCATGGCAGATTAGGGGCCTGGCAGCAGCTATGGAGGCCCGTAATCTGCCAGCACCCTATGTCAAAAAATTCTACACACCAGCAGTGTGAGGAGACCTGAAAGTGGCACATGGCAGAGTGTGGCGATGGAGACAGCAGCAATGGGAGGCCGTACACAGGACCCATGAGAGACTCTGGGACCTGGCAGCAGCATGAGGAGGCGGTATATAGGGGCCTATGGCAGATTAGGGGCCTGGCAGCAGCTATGGGAGGCCCGTAATCTGCCAGCACCCTATGTCAAAAAATTCTACACACCAGCAGTGTGTGAGGAGACCTCAAAGTGGCACATGTTTGAGGCATGATTCATGGCGGATTTAGTCAGTTGTGTCAGGAACTGGTGGTTTGAAATCCAGACTAATCCACGCCTGATTCATTTTCACAAACGTGAGTCTCTCCACACTTTGGGTGGACAGTCGTGTCCTCCGCGGAGTTACAATACCTCCTGCCGCACTAAACACGCGCTCCGATGCCACGCTACTGGCCGGGCATGACAGCCTTTCAAGGGCAAATTCAGCTAGTTGGGGCCAAAGGTCAAGTTTCGTTGACCAGTAGTCAAGGGGATTGTCTACCTCGGTTGGCAGGGTGCTGTCCAAGTAGGCCCAAGCCTGTTGTTTGAGTCCTGCTCCAGGTCCACCTGATGCTGCTGCTGCTGCTGCTGCTGCGGCTGGTTAGTAGTTTCCTCACTGCGCTGGTGAAGAAAGCTACTCATCATCGACTGCAGACTGAGGCAGCCGCTGCTGGTGGAGCTGCCACTGCTCCTACCACCCCACCCCTCCCCTGCTGCCATGGCAGCGGAACGCGAGCGCACAGGGCCCACAGTGTCTGAGGATGGACGTTGGCGCACAAAGGCAGAGACCAACTGACTACATAGGTGGTTTTTATAGTACGTTATTTTGGCCCTCCCTCTCAGCAGGTGTGAAAAAGGCCACCATTTTTGAACGGTAGCGAGGGTCCAACAAGGTGGACAGCCAAAAGTCATCCCTCTGTCTGATGGTTATTATTCGGCTGTCGCTACGCAAGCAACCGAGCATGCTATGGGCCATTTGTGCCAAGGAATGCGAGGGACTCCCTGCCTCCATCTCCACAGCATACTGCCACGGTGCGTCTGGGTCCTCTGTCTCCTCCTCCTCCTCCTCTACCAGATGCTCCTGCTCCTCCACTCCTGTCCGCTGAGTGGAAAAACCACCCATTTCACTCAATAATTCCTGAGCACAAATGTCCTCCTCTACCTCCTCCTCTTCTTCCTGTCCTGCCCCCACAGGGGTCATGTGGCGTTGAGATCTGTGCGCCACGTCTACCGCACCCTGACCAGCCATTGTTAACAGCATTTGTTCAAGGACGTGCAACAGAGGAATGACGTCGTTCATCCCATAGTCCTGCCGACTCTCACGAATAGCGTGGCCTCCTCAAAGGGCCTGAGCAAGCGGCAGGTGTCACGCATGAGCTGCCAATGGCTGACATCGAAGTTACAGGGGAGTACCTTTATCCGCTTGTAACATCAGGAAATCGGTGATGGCCTTTCGCTGCTCGTAAAGGCGGTCTAACATGTGTAGGGTTGAATTCCACCTTGTTGCAACGTCGCAGATCAGGCGATGATGTGGAATTCCGTTCTGCCGCTGCAGCTCAAGGAGGGTGTGCTTTGCGGTGTAGGAATGGCTGAAATGCATGCAAAGTTTACGTGACATTTTAAGGATGTCTTGCAGTGGGATGGTGGATTTTAGGAACCGCTTGACAACCAGATTGAACACGTGAGCCATGCATGGCGCATGGCACAACCTTCCTTGACGCAGAGCAGACACCATGTTCTTTCCGTTGTCGGTCAACATGGTTCCGATTTTCAGTTTGCGCGCGGAGACAGCCATCTGTCGATTTCTCTGTTCATTACACTCAGAAGTTCCTCCCCTGTGTGACTACGTTCGCCTGGACCTGGCAGCAGCATGAGGAGGCGGTATAGGGGCCCATGGCAGATTAGGGGCCTGGCAGCAGCTATAGGAGGCCCGTAATCTGCCAGCACCCTATGTCAAAAAATTCAACACACCAGCAGTGTGAGGAGACCTGAAAGTGGCACATGGCACATGTGGCATGAGACAGCACTGTGGACCTGGCACCTGGCAGCAGCATGAGGAGTCTGCGGTATAGGGGCCCATGGCAGATTAGGGGCCTGGCAGCAGCTATGGGAGGCCCGTAATCTGCCAGCACCCTATGTCAAAAAATTCAACACACAGCAGCAGTGTGTGAGGAGACCTGAAAGTGGCACATGGCAGAGTGTGGCGATGGAGACAGCAGCAATGGGAGGCCGAACAGGGACCCATGACAGACTCTGGACCTGGCAGCAGCATGAGGAGGCGGTATATAGGGGCCCATGGCAGATTAGGGGCCTGGCAGCAGCTATGGGAGGCCCGTAATCTGCCAGCACCCTATGTCAAAAAATTCTACACACCAGCAGTGTGAGGAGACCTGAAAGTGGCACATGGCATGAGAGACTGTGGACCTGGCAGCAGCATGAGGAGGCGGTATAGGGGCCCATGGCAGATTAGGGGCCTGGCAGCAGCTATGGGAGGCCCGTAATCTGCCAGCACCCTATGTCAAAAAATTCAACACACCAGCAGTGTGTGAGGAGACCTGAAAGTGGCACATGGCAGAGTGTGGCGATGGAGACAGCAGCAATGGGAGGCCGTACAGGGACCCATGAGAGACTCTGGACCTGGCAGCAGCATGAGGAGGCGGTATATAGGGGCCCATGGCAGATTAGGGGCCTGGCAGCAGCTATGGGAGGCCCGTAATCTGCCAGCACCCTATGTCAAAAAATTCTCAACACACCAGCAGTGTGAGGAGACCTGAAAGTGGCACATGGCATGAGAGACTGTGGACCTGGCAGCAGCATGAGGAGGCGGTATAGGGGCCCATGGCAGATTAGGGGCCTGGCAGCAGCTATGGGAGGGCCGTAATCTGCCAGCACACCCTATGTCAAAAAAATTCAACACACCAGCAGTGTGTGAGGAGACCTGAAAGTGGCACATGGCAGAGTGTGGCGATGGAGACAGCAGCAAACAATGGGAGGCCGTACAGGGACCCATGAGAGACTCTGGACTTGGCAGCAGCATGAGGAGGCGGTATATAGGGGCCCATGGCAGATTAGGGGCCTGGCAGCAGCTATGGGAGGCCCGTAATCTGCCAGCACCCTATGTCAAAAAATTCTACACACCAGCAGTGTGAGGAGACCTGAAAGTGGCACATGGCATGAGAGACTGTGGACCTGGCAGCAGCATGAGGAGGCGGTATAGGGGCCCATGGCAGATTAGGGGCCTGGCAGCAGCTATGGGAGGCCCGTAATCTGCCAGCACCCTATGTCAAAAAATTCAACACACACCAGCAGTGTGTGAGGAGACCTGAAAGTGGCACATGGCAGAGTGTGGCGATGGGAGACAGCAGCAATGGGAGGCCCGTACAGGGGACCCATGACAGACTTGGACCTGGCAGCAGCATGAGGAGGCGGTATATAGGGGCCCATGGCAGATTAGGGGCCTGGCAGCAGCTATGGGAGGCCCGTAATCTGCCAGCACCCTATGTCAAAAAATTCAACACACCAGCAGTGTGAGGAGACCTGAAAGTGGCACATGGCATGAGAGACTGTGGACCTGGCAGCAGCATTCTGAGGCGGTATAGGGGCCCATGGCAGATTAGGGGCCTGGCAGCAGCTATGGGAGGCCCGTAATCTGCCAGCACCCTATGTCAAAAAAATTCAACACACCAGCAGTGTGTGAGGAGACCTGAAAGTGGCACATGGCAGAGTGTGGCGATGGAGACAGCAACCCACCGAACTGTTTTGCTCGCTGCCAAGCTGCCACCCTCTTCTCCTGATGATGCGGAAGCAATAGCTGTGGACGACGAGGCTGCCAAGTGCGATCAGCCTCATCATCATCAATTAGGGTCTCCGCCTCACACTAGCCCCCTCGGCTGCGTGTGGGTCAGGAGACAGACCTGTGTCTACACCGGCTAACCGAGCCACTCTCCTCGCCACTGCAGTCTTCTGTGGCTGCTGAAGAGGCGGATGTCCCCCCCCGTTCCTGACCGCCCTCTGTTAGCTCTTCACTTACTGGATGACACCGGAGTAACAATCTGGCTGCGAATAGTGCCCTCAGCCCTTCCTCTGCTGCCACGTCTGCTCGCCCTGTAAAACATTGCCTCCTCTGCCACTCCTCTGCTGTTGTCTGACATACTCTTTAATTAAACGATTCTGTGCCCCTGAGTAACAATTCTGTGGCCCTCAGTAACGGTTCTGTGGCCCTCAGTAACAGTTCTGTGTCCCTGAGTAACAATTCTGTGTCTGTGCGAGTAACAATTCTGTGGCCCTGAGTAACAATTCTGTGGCCCTAAGTAACAATTCTGTGGCCCTCAGTAACAATTCTGTGTCCCTGTGTAACAATTCTGTGTCTGTGCGAGTAACAATTCTGTGGCCCTAAGTAACGTTCTGTGGCCCTCAGTAACAGTTCTGTGTCCCTGAGTAACAATTCTGTGTCTGTGCGAGTAACAATTCTGTGGCCCTAAGTAACAGTTCTGTGGCCCTCAGTAACAGTTCTGTGTCCCTGTAGTAATTCTGTGTCTGTGCGAGTAACAATTCTGTGGCCCTAAGTAAGTTCTGTTGCCCTCAGTAACAATTCTGTGGCCCTAAGTAACGGTTCTGTGGCCCTCAGTAACAATTCTGTGTCCCTGTGTAACAATTCTGTGTCTGTGCGAGTAACAATTCTGTGGCCCTAAGTAACAGTTCTGTGGCCCTCAGTAACAGTTCTGTGTCCCTGAGTAACAATTCTTGTCTGTGCGAGTAACAATCCCTGAGTGGCCCCTTAAGTAACATTTCTGTGGCCCCTAGCAAGTAACAGTTCTGTTGCCCTCAGTAACAATTCTGGGCCTGCGAGTAACACAATTCTGTGGGCCCTCAGTAACAATTCTGTGCCCTGTGTAACAATTCTGTGTGGAGACCTGCTAAGTAACAATTCAGTGTGTGGCCCTAAACAACCAGTTTCTGTGCCCCCTCAGTAACAGTTCTGTGGCCCTGAGTAACAATTCTGTGGCCCTCAAGTAACAATTCTGTGTCCCTGCGAGTAGTAACAATTCTGTGGCCCCTAAGTAACAGTTCTGTGGCCCTCAGTAACAGTTCTGTGTCCCTGTAACAAATTCTGTGTCTGTGCGGAGTAACAATTCTGTGGCCCTAAGTAACAGTTCTGTGGCCCTCAGTAACAATTCTGTGTCCCTGTGACGAGTAAAATTTCTGTGGCCCTGGCAAGTAACAGTTCTGTGGCCCTCAGTAACAATTCTGTGTCCCTCGTGTAACAATTCTGTGTCCCGAGTAAACAATTCTGTGGCCCTAAGTAACAGTTCTGTGGCCCTCAGTAACAATTCTGTGTCCCTGAGTAACGTTTCTGTGGCCCCAAGTAACAGTTCTGTGGCCCTCAGTAACAATTCTGTGTTCTGTGCGAGTAACAATTCTGTGTCTGTGCGAAGTAACAATTTGTCTGTGCCCCTAAGTAACAGTTCTGTGGCCCTCAGTAACAGTTCTGTGTCCCTGAGTAACAATTCTGTGTGCCCTGTGGCGAGTAACAATTCTGTGTCTGTGCGAGTAACAATTCTGTGGCCCTAAGTAACAGTTCTGTGGCCCTCAGTAACAGTTCTGTGTCCCTGAGTAACAATTCTGTGTCCCTGTGCGAGTAACAATTCTGTGGCCCTAAGTAACAGTTCTGTGGCCCTCAGTAACAGTTCTGTGGTCCCTAGTAACAATTCTGTGGCCCTCAGTAACAATTCTGTGTCTGTGCGAGTAACAATTCTGTGTCTGTGCGCGCAGTAACAATTCTGTGGCCCTAAGTAACAATTCTGTGGCCCTCAGTAACAATTCTGTGTCCCTGATTAACGTTTCTGTGGCCCTAAGTAACAGTTCTGTGGCCCTCAGTAACAATTCTGTGTCTGTGCGAGTAACAATTCTGTGTCTGTGCGAGTAACAATTCTGTGGCCCTCAAGTAACAGTTCTGTGGCCCTCAGTAACAATTCTGTGTCCCTGCGAGTAACAATTCTGTGGCCCTAAGTAACAGTTCTGTGGCCCTCAGTAACAATTCTGTGTCCCTGCGAGTAACAATTCTGTGTCTGTGCCTAAGTAACAATTCTGTGGCCCTAAGTAACAGTTCTGTGGCCCTCAGTAACAAATTCTGTGTCCCTGAGTAACAATTCTGTGGCCCTAAGTAACACGTTCTGTGGCCCTCAGTAACAATTCTGTGTCCCTGTGCGTAACAATTCTGTGTCTGTGCGAGTAACAATTCTGTGGCCCTAAGTAACAGTTCTGTGGCCCTCAGTAACAGTTTCTGTGTCCCTGAGTAACAATTCTGTGTCTGTGCGAGTAACAATCTGTGTCTGTGCGAGTAACAATTCTGTGGCCCTAAGTAACAGTTCTGTGGCCCTCAGTAACAGTTCTGTGTCCCTGAGTAACAATTCTGTGTCTGTGCGAGTAACAATTCTGTGAGTAACAATTCTGTGCCCTAAGTAACAGTTCTGTGGCCCTCAGTAACAATTCTGTGTCCCTGAGTAACAATTCTGTGTCTGTGCCCGAGTAACAATTCTGTGGCCCTGCGAGTAACAATTCTGTGGCCCTCAGTAACAAAACAATTCTGTGTCTGTGCGAGTAACAATTCTGTGGCCCTAAGTAACGTTCTGTGGCCCTCAGTAACAATTCTGTTTCCCTGAGTAACAATTCTGTGTCTGTGCGAGTAACAATTCTGTGGCCCTAAGTAACAGTTCTGTGGCCCTCAGTAACAATTCTGTGTCTGTGCGAGTAACAATTCTGTGTCTGTGCGAGTAACAATTCTGTGGCCCTAAGTAACAGTTCTGTGGCCCTCAGTAACAATTCTGTGTCTGTCCTGAGTAACAATTCTGTGGCCCTAACTAAAGTTTCTGTGGCCCTAAGTAACAATTCTCTGGCACTCAGTAACAATTCTGTCTGTCCCTGAGTAACAATTCTGTGGCCCTAATAACGTTTCTGTGGCCCTAAGTAACAATTATCTGGCACTCAGTAACAATTCTGTCTGTCCCTGAGTAACAATTCTGTGGCCCTAATAACGTTTCTGTGGCCCTAAGTAACAATTCTCTGGCACTCAGTAACAATTCTGTCTGTCCCTGAGTAACAATTCTGTGGCCCTAATAACGTTTCTGTGGCCCTAAGTAACAATTCTCTGGCACTCAGTAACAATTCTGTCTGTCCCTGAGTATGAATTCTGTGTCCCTAACTAGCGTTTCTTTGTCCCTAAGTAACGATTCTGTGGCCCTAATTAACAAATCTGTGTCCCTGAGTAATAGTTCTCTGTCCCTAAGTATCGTTTCTCTGTCTCCAAGTATCGTTTCTGTGGCCCCCTAACTCTGTCCCTGTCCCTAATACAGAGCGGTCTGCCTCTGTTCAATGACTGCAGGCAAATGAAGAATTCCAAAATGGCCGCTATTTATAGCTCGACCATTACACAGTGCTAGCTGGCTGGCTGCTGATTGGCTGATGCGATCACATGTCGTTGAGGAATGCATTATGGGTCAGCGCGCCTTGTCCTGCGCGCCTTCCCAGACATCCCCGCTCCGTCGCCGCACATGTCAGCCGCCATTTTCGGAAAAATTTCGATTCGCGCGTCCGAATTAGGCTATTTTTCGGATTCGGAAATCGAAATTTTTCCGATATTCGACTCGAATTCCACTTCGGCTACTTCGATTCGCTCATCTCTAAAAATAATGGTACCCAAGCTTTCAGCACCAAAAATCTGAAATAATTAGACCGCTAGGAGAGTTAATGACACTGGGTAGTAATTCCACTATATTTGTGAATAGGACTTTATTTACTTCATTTTTTCATTTCATCTTATTTATTTAATTTAATTTGATTCATTTATTTTTGTATTTGTAATTTTTGGAGATTTATTTCCTAGGATTTGTTTGCCACTAATTATAGGGTGGGGATTTTATAAGGTGGGGACTCATTCATATTGCTATATGATTTACTTACACTTTCAAGGGTGAAAGTTTTCTATGAATATTGGGATAGTTTAGTAGATCTATTGGGTACCGTATTTCACATTTATATTGTACGTGGTATATGCCAATAAGTGCCAGCACTTGCTTTTGCAGGCACATGTGTATGGATGTAATTTCCTGAACATGAAACTTCATTACAAATATGGCAGGTGCTGAAGGTCCAAAGAGGATGTGGAAATAATATTGAGGTAATTACAAATGGTGGAGAAGGAGAATGGGTATTTTTCAGTCAGAGGATATGCAAAAATAAAAGGAAAAGTGTCAAGACAGCAGTGTAGCATGGTGACGTCACATGAAGCTCCATCCAAGATGACAAAATCTGTTGGGTGGAGCTTCATGTCATCTTGGATGGAGCTTCATGTGACGTCACCACGCTACATGCCCCTTCTGGCCAGAACTTCCATACACCGGGATTGCTGCAGCTCCGGTATTGCTTCCTTGACGGCTATGCAAGTTTCAACTATTGTGAGAGCATTGGTTTACTTTTAATAAAGTTTTATGTTTGGGTATACTACACTATTAGTGCTTATTCTTCGCATGATTCATTGGCGGGTAACGCAGAGTTGAAGCGGAGCCAAGGAGACTATCTCTGTGCCACAGACCAGAGGGTAGTTAACCCCTAAAGCGCTGTTGACTTTTTTAATGAAA